GGGGGATGGATGGCGAGACACCTTGGAGAGAGTTAGATCAGAGGAAGAACTCTCTGGAAATGGACGATTGAACTGGAGAATGGTGAAAGACAGAAGGGTAACCAAGCAAGGAGAATCCAGGCCAGAGTGATCAGCAAGTGCTAAGCGGGCCTTGCACTGAAGCATTGGACACACACAGCCCAGTGACCTGGGGACATGAGTACCAAGGAGACAAGTAGAAGATGGAGGTTCAGGGAGGCAGTACTCCTTATGGGCGGTTGGCCAGTAAGAGTTTGAGTTTTTATTCCAATGAAAGTCACTGGGGGAGTTTAACAAGGGTATGACTAGGAGAATGAGGGAAGTTCTGGGAGGGGAAGTGTTGGATTTTGAACTTCTGTCTTAAGCAATTCCTTAAGACTAAGGGGGGAGGCGTTAGACCAGGCAATGGCTGGAATGGGATTCTAAAGAAGGAACGTACAGGCTGGACTCTCAACATAAAGAGTTCTCTGTTGTAGTTACTGATCAGCCAATCAATGAAAGGATCCTATTAGCGATCTTCTCAAGTCAGAATCAATTTTCTCTGTGGACGGGTGTATTATCAACAATATTAATACACGTCAGGTATATTTTCATTGGACGGAGAGACTAAAAATCTCTATCTCTGGCATACTAGAGTAAAATATAGATAAATTTCACGTTCCATAGCAGAGCAAGAGTCGGGGAAAAGCTCCATTACTCTTTTGATATCCATTATGTAGAGAGTCTTGTAACAATGATGGTCTCTAAGAACCCTGGTGGACCCGCTGACGGACGAAGCGCACTTGTCTTTAAATAAGGGATAAGGAGGACATGGCGAATATTTATCCATGCATTCAGAGATCCTAAATAATGTTTGCTTCATATGGTCAGATGCGCATGAAATTTTAAGTCATCTATCATGGTCCTATTTTTCCCAACCCTTATTACTTTTTGTTTTTGCCGGTCCCTGGGACAGCTCGGCAGCTCACTCCTGTCGCAGTGGATGTGGGCGCCGACGGGGTTTGGGCGAGTCTGGTCCCTACTCCTCGCAGGCCCGCCGGCCCGCGCACGGGTCCTGGCTGCCTCCACGCGCCGCCGCACGTGTGCAGGGCGCGTGCCTCCGCGCTCTAAACAAAGCTAAATAAAGACCCTGGAAGAAATTTATTAACATAAACAAAACCAAAATATTGTACAACATTATGTATAATTCCATAAAAAAAATTAGAAAGGGATAACAATCCAGGAGAGAAATGGGCAAGGAATAAAAAGAAATTCAAAGTGGAAACACAAGTGGTCAATAAACAGAGACAACATCTGAAGCTGATTACAAAATTAGAAAAATGCAAATAATTAACTAGATTTCATTCACCTATCCAATTGGTCGAAAAAATTTAGTTTGTACCTATGATGGTCTTGTTATTCGTAGCGACTAGTCGTAATCGCTAATGGAGCACTCACTGATTGCTCACTCTGATGTCTTAGCGTTAGAGATCGCGTTACCCTTCCCTTCGGACTTAGTTTAGTCTTTTTAAACGCGCGTTCTTTCGAGGTATCCAATTCTACCAGTATCACATACTACTAAAACATGCAATGCTAATATAGGTATCTTTCCTGAAAATTCTTGCCCAACATGCACAAGGATGTCATTTCACTTTGCTTCTAATTGGTGAAAAAGTGGAAACACCTAAGTGACATTCACATTGGAATGGGCTTAAAAAACTGTTATAGGCATCAAATATTAGGTAGTGGCTATCAAAAGCTTAAGTGTTTACATGTAATTTGGACATTTGGAAAGAGTGAAGTAGGGGACAACAGGGCTGGTGAAGCCAAAAAAAGATTTCAACATACGTTATAGAGTTGTTCCTTAAAAAGATAAACGCATTAAGGGTATTATCAAGTCTATAGATATATTGCCTGCTCTTCATCAACGTCCACTTCCATGGCTCTGTCAGACCTCACTTTCCTGCCGACCGGAAGGCTGGCGGCTCACCCACCCTCTGGCCAGCTGCATCACCTTTTTTTTTTTTTTTTTTTTTTTGAGACAAGTCTCGCTTCTTGCTAGGCTAGAGTCGAGTGCCGTGGCATCAGCAGCCTCAAATCTGGGCTCAACAATCCTATGCCTCAGCCTCCCGAGTAGCTGGAACTACAGGCAGAACCACCCATGCCGGCTAATTTTTTTTATATATATATATATATGGCCAATTAATCTTCTATTTTTTATAGTAGAGACGGACGGTCTCGCTCAGCTGGTTTTGAACTCCTGACCTTGAGCAATCCGCCGCCTCGCCTCCAGAGTGCTAGGATTACAAGCGTTGAGCGCCACGCGCCGCCTGCATCCCTTTTTAATTTCTCTCTAAGCTTCTTTTCACTTTCTGCCTCCAAGGTTTTTTAGTACAACCATATCATTCTTTTCTTAATTATTCATTTACAGTTTAATTTTAAAAAAATAGCAATGCATGCATCTATCTAAGGACTGCCACGCAGCAAAAGGAATAAGAAGAAATAAAAATTGTAAAAAATATAAAATAAAATAAAATAGGCAATATATGCATCTAGTATAATTTCAAAAGGCATAAAAGGCACAGAGCAAATATTTTTCCTAATATCTTGTCCCCCAAAAGCAGGGGGTGAGTGTTACCAGCTTCTTATACATTATTTCAGACATATCTCACATATCCAGCTTGTGACATTACACACACATACACACATTTATATGTGATACATATCCAATTTGTGATATATATATATATGCACACACACACATAGATATACATATATGTGTTATCCACAAGTTGGATAACTACCACACACATTTTTCTGTACTTTCTTTTCAACTAGTAGTATAACTTCAATAGTATATAAACTGATAAAGAGCTTCCCCATCTTCTTTACAGCTGCATAATATTCCACTCTGTGGATCAAACCCTAATTTATTTCATTAATCCCTATTAAAGGACATTTTGTTTTTAAGAGCACAGACTTTGGAATCAGACTGCCTCAGTAGAATTCTGGCTCCATCACTTAGTAGCTATATGATCTTGGGCAAATTACTTAACTTCTCTGTGCTCCAGTTTTCTCATCTGTAAAATGGGAATTGTAATAGCACCTATTCTTAGGGTGGTTGTGAGGATTAAATATGTTAATCAATGTCAGGTACTTAGAACAGTGTACAGCACATAGTAAGCTCCAGTAAACGTTAGCTATTGATTAGTTTGTTTCCCAAGTTTTGCTATTACATTCTGAACCATTAAACAACCTTGAACATAGGAGTGGTATCCAAATATTTAACAACTATTACAGCACAGATATTGACAAATCAGAATGATGCTGGCCATAGTGTTCAAGCATGATCCCAGAGACCCCCCTGTAGTATAGGAGTTTACTTCTTGAGTTGCCAGGTTATAACAAGGTCTGCAGACTTTGGGGAGGGGGCTGGATGACAGGACAGCAGTGGGTAATGGTTAGACTTGAGACAGCAGTATTTATTGACAAATAAGTAAGCATATTGATATTTTGACAACTGCTTCTGAAGCATACCAGGTGAAATTAGCTCTGTGTTCAGACATCATTTCATACACGTGTGCATACATCTTTTAGGATAAATTCCAGGAAGTGAAATTGCTACATCAAAGGTTATGCACACTTGCAGTTTTTTCTCCGCAGAGATTGTACCAGTTTACACCCCCACCAGCAATATATGTTAGTGAACTTTTTTTTATCTTTGCCCACCTAATAGGTGAAAAAAATTGATATGTCACTGTGGTTTTAATTTGCATTTCTCTCATTATGATTGAGTTTGAATGTTTTTTAATGTATTTAATGAATTTTTTCAATGTATTTACATTTTCATGTAAGTATAATGCATTTATAGTCTCTCTTTTTTTGGCTTTTATTATGGGTCTTATTATAATTGAGTTTGAATGTCTATTTACATAGCAGTAATTTATACTTCTTTTTCTATGTGCTGTCATCATGTGCTTTACCCATTTTTCTTTTGCATTCTAGGTCTTTTTCATTACTGATTTGTAGGAGCTCTTCATATATTATATGCCCTTCATTCTTTTACTTAACTCTAGAAATTTACTGAGCACCTACAGCAAGCTTGGTGCTGTTTTATGACTTTTATACAGAGATTAAAAACAGTAACATGACAGGACTTACCTTCAAGGAGCTTGAAGGCTAGTGAAGGAGACAGATGAAGAAATAAACATTTGCAATAAAGAATAAAAAGTGCTTTGAGAGGCGTGAGCATAGGGTGCTTTGAGAGCACAGAGGAGAGGGAACATTCATGTGGGCCACGTCTGGTTAGGAAATTGTGCAGAGTGTTCAAAGCCTTTGAGTAGTGGATGCTCAATAAGTGCTTGTTCTGTGTGTAAAGACTGATTGGCTCCTCTGGTTAAGTACTGCCTGGTTCTTCTGCTTCAGACTCATTTCTAAGGAGACCAGCATGGGGATTTTTCACCATATCTGCTTCTGCTCCACAGTTATGGCCTATTCCCAGACCCTAAAAAACAAAAGGAATAGTGTAAACACATCACTACCGTCACTGCCAAGCTCAAAACCCTTGCCTGTCTGATAGTAAGGAGCTTTATCTCCACTGGAGAAAGAGAACTTACCATTGAACTATCAGCTAAATTTCCCAAATAAAGAAGGACCTTTCCAAATATAAAATAGGCCACATCCTCAAATGTGGTTCTTTGTTCTATTAATGATCTTTTAGGAACCTTTGGGTTTTAAATGCGGGTTGGACATAATACAGCACTGAGGCCCAACAATGACCTTCATCTTTCTGTTATGTCTTTTATTGAGAACCTGGTGCAAATGTTTCACATCCAATTAACCCGTATAGTAGCAATGGTATTAAGTGGGTCATCCTATTTTAAGACTATTTTTTATGTGTTGAATGCAGTTTGAATAATCTACTCCAGCTGGAGCTGGAACAATTGAACACAAGCCTTGGGCAGAACAAAAGTTCTAAACAGCTAGAGATTCCCTTCTGCGTGGTTCTAGTGCACAGCTGATTCTTTGAAATGGTGTATGTTACAAACCCTCAAAGTAGCTCGTACCTTATCCAACAAGGTTGAGAGTTATTGCTTCAGCGCTCAGCAGTGCCAAATAAAAGAATTGCACTTTCCTATCAGCAAGACTGCATGCCATCTTAATTTTTTATTTTTTTTTTGGTGGTACAAGTGTTAAGGTTACGTATATTGCCCATGCCCACGTCCCCCCTTGAGTCAGAGCCTCAAGCGTGACCATCCCCCAAACGTTGCACATTGTCATCTTAATCAATGGGCAGAACTGGCTACATAATTTGTGGGGCTCAGTGCAAAATAGAAATATGAGACCCCTTATTAAAAAATTATTAAGAATTTCAAAATAATGACCGCAGAGTATTAAACACAGCTGGGGAGAGGCAGAGCCAGATCTGTAATCATGGATGTAAGGAGACTAAAATATATGGAGGAGAGAGTTATAGATTATTTGCCACACCTTGAAATTTATAATTGCCTTTATTATAAAACCATGACTTACGTTATAATTTTTTTTTTTAGTAGCTAACTTTTTTGTCTATCACATTTCCATCAACATTTTTCCATCAAGGAAGGTAAATGAGATGCATGTCCTTTCTCTGTTCCCCTGGCTTCCTTTTCTTCCAAATTATGCCCAGAATCCAAGTCTCTTAGGCCTTGATTCAATGAACTTTTGACTAACCAGTACTTTTCAAGCTTTCTAAACTGTGACTTTACAACTGTATTACATTGAAATCTAGGTCACATCAACACACACCTATACAAGTGAAACAAAAGCTCCATTAATTGATGTTTACCTTACTACTTGCAATGCAAATATTTGCTCTGCTATTCATTGATATACTATTTCATTGAAAACAAACACCACCAGTCACAACCCACTAAACTGATTTTATAAAACAGTAATGGGTCACATCACGCAGTTCCAAAATTATTGCTTTAATGTCCATGTTGCTTCCCTGTTGGGAAGGGTAGGTGAGGCCTGGGGGCATCCACAAGAAATGTTCTCTGGAAAAAGTGAAACGGCAGGAAATAGACACATTTGGACTCTATTGGGGAGATAACAAATGCACGCAACCTTTCTAAAAGCAGTTTGCTAAGTTTACTGTGGTCTTAAAAATGTGTTCACTCTGATTCAGCAATTCCACCTCTTACAATCAGGCCAAGGGAATAATCATTGACGTAGGCAAAGATTTAGCTACAAAGGACGATCAATGAAATACCATTTAAAATGTAGGAAAACTGGAAATAAGTTAGATGTTCAACAGTAGGGAATTAGTCAAATGAAAGCATATATTTTTGAATTGGATGTACTGCCATTAAATATATCATATATGTAATCAAAGAGTTAGTGATATTAAAATACTTATGATATATTAAATGAGGAAAGCAGGTATAGAACAGTGTATATACTGTGTGATGTCATTTTTTTAATGAAAAGAGAATACATGGATATATCAATTTTAATTTAAATGTTCAAAAGAAAACATATTAACTATTAACAGTGTATTCTATCAATATAAGGTGTATTAGGTCACTAGGGATACTATAACAGAATACCATAGACTGGGTGGCTTAAATAACAGATGTTTATTTCTCACAGTTCTGGAGGCTGGTAGTCCGTGATCAAGGTGTCAGTAGGTTTGGTTTCCCTGAGAGCTCTCTCCTTGACTTGTAGATGGCCATCTCCTCTTTGTGTCCTCTCATGGCCCTTTCTCTGTGCTCACATACTCCTCGTATCTCTTCCTCTTCTTATAAGGGCATCGGTCCTATAACATTAGGGTCCCACCCTTATGAGCTCATTTAACCGTAATTATCTCCTTAAAGGCCCTATCTCCAAATATGGTCATCTTTGGGGTTAGGGTTTCAACCCACATAGTTTGAGGAGACACAATTCAGTCCATAGCATATGGGTTGTAGGCTTATAGGGAAATTTTATTTTCTTCTTTTTGATTTATCTGTACTTTCTAATTTTTCTAGAATGACCATCATGTAATTTAAATTTAAATGACTTGTGTAATTTAAAAATAACAACAACAGCCAGTGTAGGGCTCCTCCAAAAACAAGGGAAGAGCAAGGAAAATAAAGAAAGCCATATCCATTTGTTGGATGAGTGAAGAAACTCATTTGAGACTTTCTTTTTTTTTTTTGAGACAGAGTGTCACTCTGTTGCCCTGGCTAGAGTGCTGTGCTGTCAGCCTAGCTCACAGCAACCTCAAACTTCTGGGCTCAAATGATCCTCTTGCCTCGGCCTCACAGGTAGTTGGGACTACAGGCATGTGTCACCATGCCTAACTAATTTCTTTCTATTTTTTAGTAGAAAGGGGGTCTTGCTCTTACTCAGACTGGTCTCCAACTCCTGAGCTCAAGCCATCCTTCCGCCTCGGCCTCTCAGAGTGCCGGGATTACAGGCATGAGCCACTGCGCCCGGCCTCATTTGAGACTTTCTAACGACAATACATTAATATTTTATCTCATGAGTTACATATTCAATAAAGCAGTTTGTGAATATATATATATTTTAAGGCTCTGATCATTAGCACTGACTATCCAAGCTCTGATGAGTGTTCGGCTTCATGTTTCATCCGTCTGTAGAAGAGTTTCTGCACAGCGTGGACCCAGGGCCTTCAGTGAGTCACTTAAAACAGCTGATTGCAGAGAGACAGGTGGGGCTCCCATATGGCTACCAGCTTCTAGAAGATTTCATATCCAATGGAGCCTGCTTCTCTTTGATATTTTTTACCATACATTTTCATATGAAATTTCATGTTTACCCTCACAGTAACTATCTGACATAGGAATTCTTTTTCCCATTATTATATACATACATATATATATATACACACACACACATATATATATACGTATGTGTGTGTATGTGTTTGTGTAGTTTGTTTTTTGAGTTAGGAAACCAAAGCCCAGAGATTGGCTTGTGCAGGGTCACATGATAGATCAGAATTCAGAGTCAAACCCAGGCCCTTGACTCTAACACCCATGCTGTCAGCACTATCTGTATCATGATGCCTCTAGGTCTTGAAAACTTTGGTTCTGAGAACACAGCTTCTTGAGGGTTGTGGTGGCTAATGAGAAAAGAGAAGTGATTCTAGCTGCAGCCACCAAACACTTTCCAATAGACTGATTCCATGTTGGGACTGAGCCTCACACAGCCAGGCCTGAGAGAGTAGGGGAAGAGGCACCTTGATTATTTACCCATTCTTTCTCCTCTCTCTTTGTCCACTTCTGTGTTCCCCTTGTGGCCACCCCCCTGTGAAGCTGAGTGCCCAGACTCTGTCCTCTGCCTGTAGTGCTGACCTAGGCCATACCCTTGATACACCAATGTCCACAGTTTGCCTGTTTTCTTCCCATGTGTTTCAGGATCTTTCATAGATCCTGATCTGTTGTGAACTAATTAATTAGGGTTGGGGGTGGAATGTTCCATTAAAAAGAGAGAATCCTGGGAAAGGTAAAGGAATCAAAACATTAATCAAAAAAATAATTTCTGTGGATGGAAATCTTTTTTGGCAGGATGGCCTTTCTGCCATCTCCCTGATATTATACTAGAGTTGATCATTAGCAATATGTTAATGACTTCTTTTATCTCTACTCTATTCAGCAATTAATTAAGATATCTCAGGACTGATAAGCATTTCACAGAATAAATACTTTGATCTCAGTTTGCCTGGCTCAAAAGTAGAGTAAAGTGTATGAGAAAATATATTAGCTTTGGAGGACACAAACCTGAATTTGAAGCCCCTCTTTGTCACTTTGCTGAGTCACCAAATCTCTCAGGCTTAGTTTCCTCATTTGTTAAAAGAAGATAATACCACCCAGCTCCTAACTAGGTAAGGACTAAGTGGAAGGAGCCTTCATTCTCCCAGTGCTGAGCTGGAGCCAGCTGACCCTGGTTCAAGAGAGTCAACAGTTACATTTTCAGAAAGTTCTGAGCTGGTTGTTAAACACAGCCCTTATGAAAAATTAAATTATTACTACATAAACTTTTATAATCAAAGACATTAAGAAAAACAGAGGTAGTAAATATTCAAAACTCATCATGTCCTAATTATTTTACAATTGTCGATGCTCCTGTGGTTATTTGTGTCTATTGTGCCCGTGTGGTGGAAATACTATTAAATATTGCATGGTGTGCCACTGTCCATCTCTCCCCAGCTCCGTGTTAGGTGACATTACATTGGTAGCTTGATATTGGCCATGATGAGAGTATTTACACCTTGAAAATGAACAAAATCTACAAATCAAGACATGATTTAGGAGAGATTGGACAAAGGGTCAATAAACTTTTTCTCTATGGGCCAAAAAGTAAGTATTTTAAGCTTTGTAGGCCATATCTAGTCTCTATTATATTTGACAAACCTCTAAAATGTAAAACTCTCCTAGCCTGCAGACTGTATGCAAATTGTGCCCACGATCTTAATTTGCTAACCCTTTTACAAGGGGCTCTCAATCCAGAGGTAGT